ACTAGTGGAAATGTAATTGCTGATATCAAAAATAGCAATTGTTACTAGTAGAAATCTAATTCCTGCTATCAAGAATTAACATTTTAACTAGTAAAAATTTAATTGTTGATATCAATAATTCATATCCCGTGAAGGAATAAAAGTCAAAACGGCTTGCCATAGTGTGAAGGACACTGTATCACTCGATCTCACAGCAGTAAAGGCAAGAGACCACCTTATCCTGAGGAACCCGCGCTAATATATTCTGACTCGAAATGTAGACATATCTGTAAAATAAGAACAAGTGTGAATGAGATGTAACAGAAACAGGAAGCCATAAGCTTGATATGAATAAATTAGCTTACCCTTGTCCATGTCACTGGGGACAAGAGCTTATGTGAACTTCATTATTTTGGGATTATGTTATGACTCATGCAAATTTAACTTGACTGCGAAATCCCTTGATGACGTCACCTATGCTCTTTAAAGTGACAGATCACATAAAAATTAAAATTCAGTTATTTACTTAACCTCATGTTAAACTTTGCGTGAAACACAAAAGTGGATATTTAGCAGAATGTCCAAGCTGCTTATTTCCATAATGATAGTGAATAGAGACCAGAGAAATCATTGTAAAGAAAGCAGTGGCAGAAAAAGAGAATGAAATGAGGGCGAGTAAATGACAGAACTTTTTTTTTTTTTTTTGGTGAACTGTCCCTTTAATATAGAAATAGCTGGAAGATATTTGTCCTGCACAAACTTATCCTAATGTGACTGTGAGGAACTAAAGTGTTCTTCTATTATTGGAGTCCTTTGTGGTTTCAAGTACCCACACGATTGTTCTGAAGAGGAAGGACAGGTCTGTTTTGTCATGGTGATTTGAAAGCTGTTGTAAACATACGTTTTTTTTTTTCAATTCATTGTTTATATAAGATCCAGAACTCACACTGTATCAAATGAAGACCTGCAAATGAGAAAAATGTATGCATTATGTTAAATTCTGAATATACATTTGCACATGTTGGGTTTTTTTCTGCACACTATGACCCTGCACATAATATACCACTGGAGGGCGCTCACAAACTTATTCCCCTGTAGGCTGAGGTTAATGGAAAAGGATAGTTTACGGATGTCTTGGATGAGACAGGCTGTGTGAAACCAAAGGTAGCTTACTTGGTGAGTATTTTGTGTATAAAGTTCTTCATAAGGTACCAAGTCATGTCTAATTATCTAAAACAGGCGTCACCAAACTCGGTCCTGGAGGGCTGGTGTCCTGCAGAGTTTAGCTCCAACTTGCCTCAGCACACCTCGCTGGAAGTTTCTAGCATGCCTAGTAAGACCGTAATTAGCTGGTTCAGGTGTGTTTAATTAGGGTTGGAGGAGCTAAACTCTGCAGCACACCAGCCCTCCAGGACTGAGTTTGGAGACCCCAATCTAAAACAAATGTAAGATGTATTTAGTGACTACAGTGCTTATTTCATCATAAAAATTTGTGCACTAGAACATGTACTTATAAAAACAGCTTTTCCCCCATGCCATCTCCAGTTTAAACAACATAGCAATTAGCCCTGTTTTTATTATTAATTTCTCAGTACCTTAGAAAGAGGCAATCAATAGATATTATGTAAATACATATACATATTTTTATTTATACGGTTGTATATTATACAGTACATAATGCACAAATCTGTACATAAGTCTTCCGTTCTCTTCTGTTCCAAATGTATATTATTATTATTAGTTTATTTTCTACATTTTTCCTTAGTTTTACTTTTACTTTAGTTTTAGTCATATGTGTATGTACCAAGAGCTCCTGAAAAACCACAACAAATTCCTCGTGTGTTTGCACACACTTGGTGAGTAAAAGCTCATTCTATTCTGTTCTATTCTATTCTATTCTATTCTAAATTGAGCCATTATAAGATTGATAGAATAGTAGTTCTCAACCTTTTTGACTCCAAGGCCCCCATTATCCTCAACAATAATCAAAGGCCCCATGACACAGTTGTTTGTAATTTACTGGATCAGGATTAAGGACAAGGATTTTTAAAAATGTAATGTCTACCTGATAAAATATTTATGCATATTTGCATTTTCATCTGCCGTTTTTGTTCAGACCAATTATATAGTCTATAACAGGGGTGCCCAACCTTTTTTGAACAAAGATCTACTTTTAAATTCATTCAGCAGGTCAGTGAGATCGGTCAGGAATGCTAAA